TTTTCCCTCCTCAGACTCGATGCAGCTTCATCAGATGTTTGCTGGAACGAGGAGTTGCCTTGAAGGTGAAAGTCAGAGGTCAGCCTCACTGTGCAGTTTATACTCTGACACTCATCTGTGACTGCTTTTTAGATAATTACACACCTGCAGATGTGCATAAATGCACTGTGTACGCGTCTGCTCTAAAACTAAAGTCATGCACAGAGAATCATCGGTTTTAAAGCAGAAAGCAGTCGACAGTTTCATCTTCAGTGTGGGTTTAATTTATTAGAACATGGCATGAATGGAAAGAAAACAGTCACAAACACATCAGGCTGATATACAAAGAGCAAAACATCCTGTCTTTACAGGAAGAAATGAAAACCAAAAAGATGGAAGAATATGTCGTCGTAATGGATTTTTCATGTTCGAGTGCAATACAATATTCACAACCGTTCAGCCGTGGGTTCAGGGTGGGCGAGGTGTCGCCGTGTGTGTGTTTGTCGTGCAGCCTCCGACGAGAGCGTTTTTATGACGCGAGCTTCATCTCCGTGTTGGACAAAGTCTCGGAGCACGTCGCGGGAACGTCCGCCTCCACGGTCTGAGTGTCCAACACGTTCACCCCGAAGAGCAATAACTTGACTCTGTTTTGTTTCCCGACGACGTGATTTTTCTCTCCGGAAAACGTTGCAGACTTTGAATTTTAATAAGAGTGAAAAATATGTTTTGATAAAGAATGTTGTTAATGTTCACTTCAGAGCAGAGGTGGAATTAAGTCTCCCTCAAAGGATGGATGCTCGGCTAAAATCTGCGTCGGTGTTCCTGAAAATAAATCTTTTTTTGTTAATTTAAGGAGCTGCTGTGGATTCTGATCTTTGTTTAAGATCCCAGGACTCAACACTCAAGCTCCTGATGTTCTTCCAAAACATTTTGTTTCTAATTATTACTGCAAAAATGAGTTTTTTGTTAAAGGAAAAATTAATCTGGCACAAATTATTCTTCAGCTCAGTCTCTTTTAATGTGTCTTAAAATGATGTCTGGAGGCTTTTTTTAATATATATTTTTGTTATGGGCCAAAAGCTGATTCATATTCATGCAAACTGAATAATTTTTGGTTCCATCTGTTTTTTTTTTTTTTAGTTGATGAGGAAATATGAGGATATAATAAAAAATAAATAAATAAAAGTTTGTGCATTTTTAAATTAAAGTGGTTAAAATTCTTACTTTAAAGCAGACAGGGACTCTGCCTGTGCTCACATCAGTGAATTCTTCAAGGGATTTTTCAAAGGAACCAAAATGACTGACCTAAATTATTAAAAATGTCAAAACCAGTGGAGTAAACAAGCATGCAGGAGATATTACAGGCTAACTATGACGGGGACTCTCTACACTTTCAGTGTGGTGATCAGAAAGTTCTGAGAACAGGTCCGTGAAAATGAAAAGTGCTGCATGATTTCGATTGGGCGATTCATCTTCTCTGTCGCCTTTCACCAGGTCTCTGCTGGATCTCCTCACACGTGTTGGAACAAGACGAATTTGGTGAGCGAAAGCCAAAATAGCCGCAGAGCACCTGTTTGTGTTCTCTCTCCAGCGGACGCCTGCGTGGATGTGAAGGTTCTCAGTCATCCAGGTCATCGTAGTCAAAGGAGCTTGCAAAGAAAAGCGTCTGGACTTCTTTAAGTTGCTTGAAGACGTTTCACCTTCATCCGAGAAGCTTCTTCAGTTCTAAGGTCAAATGGTGGAGAGTCCCAGATATAAACCTAGTGGGAGTTTCCCCCCACAGAGGGACAAAAGGACCCCCTGATGATCCTCTAATCGCCTGATCCAAGGTGTGGAACTGGGTGTGGGTCCCAATCAGCCAGAGTTTCGGGACTCTCCACCATTTGACCTTAGAACTGAAGAAGCTTCTCGGATGAGAGGTGAAACGTCTTCAAGCAACTTAAAGAAGTCCAGACGCTTTTCTTTGCAAGCTCCTTTGATCACTCTGGGGAACTAATTCAGAGTGAATTCTGAAGGGAACTAAAGGGAGAAATCATCCTCCTGGTTTCACCTGAAACTGCTCGCTCAGAGCTAGGCGATGATCCTCGACATGAAATTCACTCCAGTTTCAAAGTGAAACTAAAGTTTGAGGTCTGCAGCTGCCTGCACAGCCCCGACAAGATGATCTTAAAGAAAAGATCAGCCAAATTCAAATCGGTTCACGAGTTTCATGTTCTCAGAACTTTTTGATTGCGCCTCGTTTACGGTGCACTGAGGAATATTTCCTGTTTTTCCCTCGTCTACTTCTACTTGGTGCCCCAAATGTAAAGAACCCCTCCAGACATCATTCGGAGTACCAGAGTCTGTCAGTTACTCTTCAGGGCGGGTGCGTTGCCAGTCAGAGCCGTAGTCCGCTGTAGCCCTTTCACTTCAGCTGCACGTTACCAGCACGGCGTCCGCGTGAGCCCACGCAGGGTTCAGAGCTGAACCGCACAGAGATGAGTTTGCATAGACATCAATTCAAGTCAGACTCATGCAAATGGATGAAGGACACGTGGACGATGAAAAGCAAGGACGACAAAAGTTAAAGAAAAAAGAAAAGTGTTGTGTCGAGACGAATGTGAGGAGACGGGTGTCCACAGTTCAGTTCATCAACATTATTTATAAAAATAAGTGAGCTTGTTAAATATACCACATCATCATCGTCATCAGTCTTTTTAGAAACAAACAGAAGGAACAGGGAAGCGTCGACACCCCATCGAGTTGAACGTTGATGTATTTGTTACAGCTGGAAAGTACACACACCCAGATTAGCCGCTGCTGTTGCTCTGCAATGTGTAGCTACTCGTACGGCTCTGTTTAGTATTGCTTTGAGTTCACACTGCCAGTGCAAAGACCGAGGCCTGTGTGTGTGTTACGCTAATTTCTTGGTCATATTTGTGTGTATTTACATGTTTGTGTGCGTGTTAGTGAGGCCAGTCAAACATGCAGCATTAGTCTCTGACACTCTGGGCGTCAGTTTAATCTGAACAAAATAAATTAAAATCAAATAAACTTTTTAAAAATTGCACAAGCTCCGCTACAGAACTACAAAAAGCACACTCACACATTTCTAACAGATCTCGTCAGCCGCTGCCACAGACTAGCATAAAAGATGCACCGTAAACCTGCACCGTATAATGTCCAGCAGGGGGCGACTGCTCTCATACTGTCGTGACTTCCCCAACGACTCGATGGCCTGAACATTAATCTGAAATGGGATTTAACACATGATGTTCATTTTGTAAACTGGTGTCCAGACGATGTTAAACTATCCGGTTTCAAAATACCGACTTGGTGAAAACGTTCGGCTTCATGCTTTAGGTGGCTACGTCCATCTCTGACAAACAGCCTCTGATCAGCTAAATGTTTGTGGATGGATGACCTTACACTCATCGGTACTGATTACTTCCTGGAAACGCGTCTGCAGACTTTGTAGTTGATCATCAGAGTAAAACTAATGACTGACTTCTGCTTTAATCACAAGTTTGTCTATAACACGCCTGCTCGTTGTAGAGCACCTCACAGCCAGCGTAGCATCTTTACTCTGACTCGGCTCTGATGGTGTTTTGGTTACAACAGGAAGCTGTTCTCAGAGGTAACACAGTAATACATGAAGGAATCTGTTCCAGAGGCGGGCGTTCATTCAAACACGATCATGAGGTCGGTGTATGGACAGTAATCTCTGTGAGCCCTGCCTGTGATGTCATACAGGGGTGTGTCCTTACATGATCTGTTCACACATTCTGTTTCAGAGGGGCAACCAATGGGAGAGGAGCTAACACAGACAGTTGATGAGGTGATGCCATAGCTGGACTGGCCATTTGCCCGGTATGCCTGATGGTGATTTTTCGTTTTTATGGGCCGATGAGTATTTTTCTTTTTTTGTAACAGTATAAACAATGAGAGGTGGTGGATTGGCCAGATGCTGGTCGATGTGTAAAAATAACTCAGTTGTTTGGTGGTGGCTATGGCGGAGCTTCCACAGAGGCCAGCAGGTGGATGAGGGAAGGGGAGGCAGGAGGAGGAGAGACCCCAGGTGGTCCAAGTGTCAGGTGAACTTCAGGTAATAAGTTATGACCTGCAGTCTATCTGGGTCAGATATAAACCAAGTTTAGGTGGAGTTTATTGTTGTTGTGCTGACTTTTTACAGTCAGTTACAATAACTCGTACTGCGTGCTAGCTAGCATGACGGCGTTTCTACAGCTGGGTGGGTGCTATGATGTTACTGATAGTAAAGTTCTCTAACTAACCTTATGAATAAAATAGTTGCCAACCGTCCCGTAAAAAATGAAATCGTCCCGTATTTAGAGAAAATATTACGCGTTTCGTATTGAGGTGAAAAGGGACACAGTTTGTCCTGTACTTCAGCTAGAATGGAAAAAGACACAACAATGGATTTATTCTGTCTTTATGCTGCAGCTGCCTCTTCTTCTCTCATTCTCTCTCTCTCTCTCTCTCCTGTTGCTACTTCAATCATGAAACTGATCAATGATCAGCTGATCGTCTCTCTTGTTTGTTTATCGCCCACTTTGCGCCAGAAAGAGGAAACCAGCGGATGTCGCGCTAAACAACAGCAGCACGTTTAAGCTTGATCAGCTGTTGTTAGAATTTATTTAATATTAATTTCTAGTATCAGCTGATGTTTGCTGGAGCCACAGCTGTAAAGCTGCTGGTCATGATGGTTTGGATATGTGGTGAGAGGGAAACATGAAGATGAAACCAGGAGATGTCCTTACTGGATCATCAGACAGGTGATGGAGAAACAGGTTTACCTTTTAGGTGACATGGATGAGTTGAAGTTATGAACTGTTTCTGAGAGACAAATAACACCAGGATCCTTTTCTAAGTAGCTGACAGCTGGTAACTGTGCAGGGCAAAGTGTTGCCAGGGGGGCAGGTAGAGCATTAACAGGGAGAGGGGGGCACAAAGAAATACTTTTCTTTCTTATTCTCATTTAAAATGTCTCACTTTTAACAAATAATTATCTGAATCTTACAACCAAAGATTGTTGAAGATCATTCAAAGGCTTTATGGCTTTTCCTATAATTTTTTGTCCCAGTCCAGCCCTGGGTGATGCACCAAGTATGAAGTAAACCAGGATTATTTTGAACTTTGAATCATGCAAAGCTAGTCTGTCAGAGTCCAAGAATAAAAACGCTGCTCTGTTGTCTACCTTCAAGCCATCTTTCTTCTAATTGGCTCACAGACAGTTACTGTGAAATGACTACATTAGGGACATCACCTCTAAATGACATCACAGAGAGCCAAGAGTGTTCAGAGCACTCTGAGCCTGAGCTTTTGGCCCACAGGGATTAGATACACTTGTACTCACACGGAGCTCATCATTAGAGACTCTGGTCATGTTTTATATGAGCATCCACCACAGGAACAGGAGATGAGCAAAAGTGCACAACAGGTCCACTTAAAACTCAACTGCATGTGACAAAATGTTGACTCGGTACTTTCTGACGGATGGATCGACTCCTGGTGGCGAGCTGGATTTTGGCCAAAGCGTGTCCCCGATATATCTGCTTAGAGCTACCAGGGTTATCGACCTGTGGTACTCACCCAGTAATGACTTCAAACGTCTGGCTATCAGAAACTGGCTTTTCCAAAGCTCCTCACTGTACACGTTCAAAGATTTCCCATTTTAAAAAAACAGTTCTTTTATTCTAGTTCTGTGGATGCTGAAAGTTGAGAAGCAGGGCAGACATTTATAAACAGATATCCCAGTTAGAAAGTGTGTGTGTGTGTGTGAGAGAGAGACATAAAATGGCCAGTTGGAGCTCACAAGTGAAAACACTACTCTTCTAACAAAACACCTGGTTATTAGCAATAATGGTACAGTGATTTTTTTTTATCCCCCAAAAAGAAAATAATCAGTTTTGTTCACTCTACATACAGAACATACAGAAACTAAAATACAGTTTTACAGTCTTTACCTGCAGCCATGTTGGGAAATGAACTCATCTAAAACTGTAATACTCCTCTCAATAAGTTAAAAAATAATTTAAACAACACATTTTGGAAGAGAACATATGCAAAAACCAAAAAAAGAACCTTTTTAAATCTGTTGCATGTCTTTAAAAAAACTACACAACAAATACTGAAGGAAAAACCAGACAGGAAGCAAACGCAAAATAGTCATTTACAAGTCGACATCATCGTATACAAAAGCAGAGTTTTCAGCTCAGTGTTAGTGACCAGTGATTATAAACTCTGAGGGAATATTCCACAATAGTTAATAAATATGCAAGTATACAATAGGACGAAGAGCAGGGGACAAAAAGAGCAGGACACAGACTAGGAGGGGAAAGCAGAATAGTCTCTATGGCTTTTACAGGCTTTGTGGCCCAAATGACCTTAAATATCAGCGGCTGCAAACACCCACCAACCCTCTGAACTCGGAAAAGGGCCGAGCTGCAAAAAGACACGAGGAAAAATAAAGTCGGGGTGGACTTTTAGAAGTGGGATTGTTGGAAAATGATGACTCAGACCTGCTGATCCTGACTTTTAATTTTAAAAATCAGACAAATAGATGAATTTCTGTTAATGTCTCAAATTATTTAACAACAAGAAGAACACTTCCACATCAAGGAGCAGACTGGAACATCCTTAAAGCTGTTTTTATGTGGTCGGATGTGGAATGACGACGAGTAAGTAAGAGTCTCGCTTTCAAAATCCATGTAAAGTAAAATTACACAAGTATTATCACATCCAAAGTATCTGAAGTAAAAGTTCTGCTTCTGCAGTGGTGCCCACAAACAATCAGTGGATGAATTTAAAGTTTGCACTGTTCTCTCATCTTTGCTTGGTTTTCTATTAAAATAACAACTCTCCTCCATCCACTGGGAAAACTAACGTTTGGGGGCTTGTCCGGGATCCGGGCTGGGACAGAGACATTAAAGCATCCATAGGTTTGTCTGACTGTGTAGCAAAATTATTTTCCTGAACTTTTTCCAGCTGTGTCTGTGTTTGAGTGACAGGTGAAGTATTGAGGAGCCATTGACCCTGAGTCGTTTGTACGTGGTGAGCCATCAGCCTTAGAGAGCTGCTGTACAGGATTGTCCTATTTTGCTTTTGGTGTTTTTCATTCTGGTCCTACATGCCTCGCTTTGAGGTGTTCAAAGGTTCTGAAACTTTGTTTTTAAAAGTGCTACTCAAAGAAAGAAAGAGCTGTTGGATATATGAGTATATAAAAAGGTTAAAGAAGCAAGGTGAAGAGTGTTATTTGTTATCCTGTATTTTTTTTCTTTAATTTATTTCCTACTCTGTGGAGTTGAGACGGATATCTGCATGAAAATCAGAAATCCTCCTTCATTTGATTTCTGAAAGTCGTGACTGGAGCCGCTGCAGTCTGTCAGAGTTGCTCAGCAGGTTCTGAGTTAATTATTCGGCGTTTATGATTCAATAAGAAACTTTTGAATTTACAGAGAGCGTGCAGCTCTGTTTTGGGATTTTTCCTATTAGCTCGAGCTGTAGTTGAGTTAGCCTTTGCAATAGTGCTCAGTTATATTTGTAAAAGTGATCTTGTTGGTGCATTGTCACCGTGATAGCATGACACTGGTTGCAAACTTACACATACATCATGTTTGGCAGTGGGTTTTGGTCTAATTGCACAAACATGCTGTCTGACAAGTCGTCAGTGCTTTGGGGAAACTGGGTGAAATCTGCTGAGAGACCGTCGTCCTCCCAATCCTTTCATGACGGTAAATAAGACCCTCAGTCGTGGTTTTTAGTTATGTAGCTAACTTTACACTGGTCTGTTTATTTGGTCTATAGCTGCTGATCCACACAAACAGCAGAATGATTTTAACCCAGAAACACTGTTTGAGGAAACCTGTGTTAAAATTGTTATTTTTCCCCTTGATTTCCAAGACTTTGTCAAATCGGTTTATCCTGGTAATACACCCAACCCGGTTGCACAATGTTCCAATACCAGGGTAGCAACCAGAGCTACTTGCGGTCACTCAGGACAATGATTGCAATCCCAGTAAATCCACCGTGGAGTGTTTCACAAGTGTCCGAGAAGCAGGTCTCTGCTCCACATCACTCAGAATAGCACCAGGTCTTTTTATTTCTTGACAGAAGCCACATCAAGCTGCAGAAAGCATATGAGGAGGGCAGGAAGTCGCACACAGGACAGCCGGTAAAGAGCTAAGTCCAAAATAAAAGACCCGGCACCGACTAAACACTTTCAACTGCTCGCAATGTGAAGACGTGATGGAACAAAAATTTGTCCAAGACACGAACCTGCTGTGCCCCTGGTTTAGGGTTTGGTTATGACCACAGCGCAGAGTCACGGTTAGCTGAACTGCAAGCTTTAAACTTTTGACGTCACTAACCCCGCGGCCAAAGAGAAAAGCTTGTTTGCTGCCGTGCACACCTTCCATGGATGATTCAACATCATTCATGTTCCAACGATCCCACTTTGATTCTTTTAGGCAGTCAGAAAAAAAAGAAGAGGAAGAAGAGGAAGAGGTGGAGAGGCAAACAAGTCAATGAGTAATGTGCTAAAAGAAAAACCAAAAACGGCCCTTAACGTCTAAACCCGGCCAGGAGCTACCTCTTTGTTTAGTACGGCGCAAACTTCTGCCTCTCCGGCTTCTTCATTCCATTGGTTGAGGACGAGATCTTGGCTGTGTAGGACGCCAGGGCCGCTGCCGCGTGAGCTTGAACCGGAACGGCTGCCGTCGCCGCTGCCGTCTGCACTGAGGCTGGTAGCACTGGAGCCCCAATGGCCGCTGCGGCGGCCGCCGCTGCTGCCGCTGCTGAGGCGGGAGGGGTGGAGAGTGCCAGGTAGGGGATGGATTTCACTCCCAGGAGGCTGGAGAGGGGGAAGGCGTAGGGAGCGCCCAGGATTGGAGCGTGGGGCAGTGCGGCGCCCATCGCTGCCAGGGGGGAGGAGGAGGAGGACGAGGCGGAGACAGGGGGGGAGGGCTGGGTGAAGCTCATGGTCAGATCAACGGGAGACGGCATGGAGGAGGACTGGGCGGTGGATTTGGCGGTCTCTAAACTGGAGGGGGAGGTGGAGGGGAGGGAAGGGGGGGAAGGAGGGTGGAGGAGGGGAGGGGGTCAAGGAGAGGGAATTTTGGATGGAGAAGGGTTAGAGGGTTAAATAAAAGACATGTTAAAAAAAATCAGAGTAAAAACGGAAAAGAAAAAACAAACAAACAGGATCTGTAAAAATGAACCAACGGAAATCTGACAAAACTCAAATCATAAGACGGGCGTGTTTGGCTGGAGGTTGCAACAGATTATTGTAGGGGAGTTCGCTGTACAGATGGGGGGTGTGCTGTATAAGTTGGGGTGATGGCTTGGGAGGGGGCTTAGGGAGGAGGGAACAAAACCATCAGAAAAATTAGCATGGACGCTCCGTCAGAGAGGACGCTGCTTCAAAAACAGGACAGAAATCCTTTGTGTGGGTCTGTGCTCATCTCTGTGGGAGCTTCTCACCTCGTGTTTTCTAACTAAAAGAAATGTTCTGCACATTTTAGCATCAATCACCATAAAACAGTGAGAGGTGGGCGGGCACGCAGCCCCGCATCCTCTTCATATTTCCTAAATCAGTGCAACCAGCTGAAAACATAATCCAATCAGCTGTTTGAATCACTAACAAGCATCATTCAAAGGCGGGACTTTCACTCCAAAATATACTGGCTTACAAATTCTTATTTAAAATGACATGAACTGTAAATAAGTGTCTGTGTGTGTGTGTGTGAGTATTTTTAAAGGTTTTTATTTCCTCGCATGTTGAATACTCGAGTTTTTCTTGTAGTTGCCTTGGGGCAACGCTGCACAGCAACTGTTCCTGTCTTTGTGTTTGAATGTTATCGCATGTATTTGCACAGCTGAGTCTCTAAATGTGATTCAAACTGTAGCTTTTCTGCTTTTAACACAATTATTTCACTGGTTATTAAATGTAAATGTGTTTAAGTTCATGCAACTATCAGACAGCAGGTCAAACATGAAGCTGGAGTGTTCCCGGCATTAGAAACGTACTGTTAAACATTCCCGAGTGCACAGGAACACCAAAACGTCTGCTCACTAAAGTTTCTTGAAGGGGTATGGGTGACGCTTTCAGTTAAACGACTAAACGAAGTAATGAAGTGGAATCGGGTACCATTAAACGAAGGAGTTTGCTTTCGAAGGCTTATGTTACACTCCCTGTTTGAAAGTCAGCAGTGGTTCATGTCACCGGGAGGAAAACTCCCAGGTCACTGAGACCTTTTCCTCTGAAAGACTTCAATGCACAGCTCCATCAATAGGTGATGCCCCCCATTTAAACACTACAGTTAAGGCAACATGTCGATGTTAAACCGAGAACTGCTCATTTTGAACTCGATTCAGAAAAGTTTGACAGGAACATGTTTGCCTCTGAGTTGCATCATCACTTCCTCGTTTAACAACGCTGAGCGTCCTCAGGAGAGCAGCGGCTGTAGTTTCCTGTTCTTGCTCGATGTGAGACAACTTCCAGCTGCTTAACACGCAGAGGCCTCCTCTGCCGCTTTAGGACGCTCCAGCTGTTTTTAATAGGCAGACACCCGTTACATTACATTAGCTCCTCTTGTACTGCAGATTCAGCTGCAGGAGTTCAGACTGTGTTTGGCATCTTGTTCACTTCAGCAAGACCAGCCACAAAAAAGACAGCCGGGTCTCATGGCGTAAGCTATCTGTCTGTGCTCACGGACACATTCTGTCTTTGTATTTACTTGGATGGATTTTCCATTCTGTGTGTTGTTGTGTCTATTATTTAAACACAGGCTTGTATCTGGATTTCCTTGAAGTGTAGTCATGCAGTGGAAACCTAAAAAGTAGTGCTAGGCCTCACAGGAGGCAGAACAAAGCAGTGATTTCATATTCTCTAACGTCGCCCACATATGAAACTGATTCATGTTCAAACACATTTCACTGCAGAAGTGGTTACATCGACAGATATTGTACAATTACAAGTTCAATCTGTAAAGGTTGTTGCTCATGGGGCGGGCCAGATTAGAACCTGACAGCGTTATAAAAAGCTTAAAGTTGATCACACTCAGGCAGTTACAGAGACTCAATATCAAGCTGTGCAGGAAGCATTGTTTCAATGTGACTTCACTACTGTCTAAGTGAAACAATCGGGAGGGTAGATCATTTGACAGATGCACCCCTGTCACACCTTTTTACTGCAGAGCTCTGATCGTACCTGATACCCTCACATATCTATATACCGTATTTTTCGGACCATAAGGCGCATTAAGCAAAACAAAACAGTCAGATAAGTCAAACTTTACTCAGCTCATTCTTCTTGCTTCCTTCACTTCCGTACCATCGATTCATTAATGTTGAATTCTCTCACAGCTGCTCTGTTCCCATGTTGTTGTGAAGTTTGGCCCGTTTACAGCATCCTGCCATGCGTTTGCATTTGTTTAACCATCAGGAACCCTCACGTTAACTTTAATCAAAAGTTAGCGTTCATCCTCCAGCTTCACTGTTTATGTATGCTAACATAGCTGTGTCGCTAGCGATCACGTAGCACATCATTATATACCAGCTAGCCCAACTTCAGTAACCCTACAAATGTCACTGCTGTTTAGTTTTCTGTCTTCATTTATGTTGGAAGTGACAGCAGAGCTGTACGTTTGAATGCTTCAGAAATCTCTCAGTCAGAACATGCTATATCATGTTTAGCTAACTAGCGAGCTAACTTCTTGCTAACTTCTAACTCCGTTAAACATCATAAATTTCATGGATGCCTGGATGTTAAACTTGATTGTTACACCTGGTAAAGCAGCAATGCTGATCGTTTTATTAAAGATGGAATACTTTAGACAGTTTTTAACTGTGTAATGCTCCAACTATCCATCAAGCGGTGCGGCTTCGTAGCTTACCAAAGTCGTACTAAAACATTTTTGACATCTTTTTGAGCGGCGTGTAGCACATAAAATCGGTTTCAAGGTCAGTAATTACAACCAGAATTCATACATAAGGCACACTGTCGATTTTTGAGAAAATTAAAGGATTTTAAGTGCGCCTTATAGTGCGGAAAATACGGTATATATAGATATATATATGTGTATATTGCTGGATTCACACAGTCTGACATTTTCCAGCAAACCCTGGCTGATGTTTCTGGGATGCAGTCTATCTGTATAGACAGGGGTGCACATAAGTGGTCCGCAGGTGTCAAAATAAAAGATGCTCACCAGATAAGAAGTTGCAATAATGTTTATATAAAATGCACCGTTTTTGTCCGCTAGAGTGGGATTTTCACGGCACATTCTGCACCACATCTCTGTGCATTCATTATTTGTTTGAAGCCAGCTCACCTCCTGCAACCACTTATCCAAGAACACGCGCTTCTTATGCGGTTCGGACTCCTTCTGACATTTCTTGGAGGTGGAGGAACACCAAAGTAATTGCTTAAAGGAGCTTCTTCGACATCTTTAAGAGTTCTAAACAAATGTCTGTCCTCCTCCAGAAAATCTTATGTACGCAAACACGTGTTGCAACTTCTTATCTGGTGCACGTCTTTTATTTTGACAGCGAATGCGCACCTGCGGACCACTTATGTGCAGCCCTGGTTATAAACACACATGAATCCATTCATCACAGACTTTCTGACTATACGTGAGTTCATGTGAACTGTCTTTTAGTTTATGGGACGTTCCACAACATCTGTCAGTTTAACCACTTTGGTTTTTTTAAAGAATCCATTTCATATCTAAGGAACCTTGGAGGATATGAAATATTTTGTTCTCCCTCCTGCCAAGGTTTTACTGCTCATAAAGATATTATGTAACCATCAAAGTTTGTATCTCTGCGTTTGTGAATATTTGAAGAAAACAACTCCAAAAAAGAAGCGCAGGAGCTGCTCAGGCGGGAGACGACGGCTTATGATGGTGCGGGTTGTGTTGGAAGAAAAGCTCCACAGAGAAGCCAGAGTCTGACTTCCATCTTTTTCCCGTCAACCTGCGAGCGACCCGCCGAGGGAGGACGGAGATTGGATGAGCTCAGGCAGATCGCCGTGTCCGTGTGTAACCGATTAAAGAAATAATAGAAAAGAGCAAATTTGTCGGGGATTCTCCAGC